TCCCCCCCAAACCCCCGGGAACACACACATGTCAAACTCAAAAGCATAGACTATATAATCTATCTAACATCATTATTCCCCCTCAAACCTTTCTTTCAGTTTCAATTCCTCACTCTCTTCTTCAGATTTTCAGTTTCTAGTCCATTTCATTTGTCCCCATTTTTACATTACATTTCTACAGCGTTGGTGAACCTCCTTCCTTCCTTCCTTCCTTCCTTCCTTTATTCCTTCCGTTATATTTAGAGTTATTATATCAGAGACAAAATCTCCTACACTCTTACTCTTTTTGGAGCCAGCCATCCCATAAAACCAGACTCTATAGGACCATGAGAAAAATTATCATGGCTCCACCGAGACATGCCCCAGTGCTGATACTGCTGCTGGCTTTTCAGATCAGCTGTTCGAACGCTTATCAATTCGACGTCGGTGGCACAGATGGTTGGATTCTTAATCCTCTTGAAAGTTACGACCACTGGGCTCAGCGTTTGAGATTTCAAGTAAATGACACTCTTTGTAAGTTCTCCAATTATCCGTGCTACAAAAATGTACCATTATATGATAATTTGTTTGTTTGCACCAAAAGATGTTACTATATTATTTGTACTTAGTATTTATTTGATAATTATTTTTTTCTTGTTTGTACGTGTGACAGTGTTCAAGTATAAGAAAGGATCAGATTCAGTATTGGAGGTAAATAAGGATGCCTATGACAAGTGCAACACAGAAAATCCGATTAAGAAAATGGAAGATGGCAACTCTGTTTTCAAGTTTGATCGCTCTGGTCCATTCTATTTTATTAGTGGCAAAAAGGATAAGTGTAAAGAAGGACAAAAATTGATTATAGTTGTTCTAGCTGTTAGACCGCCGCCTCCTTCTCCTCCTGCTACTCCGTCCAAAGCTCCGGCTCCATCCACTCACACTCCAACGACGGCTACTCCACCTAAAGGATCATCAACACACATTTCACCGTCGCCTAAAGGGAATCCGGATTCTGATTCTCCTGTAGGTAAAACTCCGGTAGCATCACCGACACCTGCTGGTTCCCACTCATCTCCGACGCCTCCTGCACCTGGAAAAGCTCCTACATCAGGTGTGACTCCGCGTCATGGTCCACAACCATCTCCAACTGCTCATGCACCATCTCCGGCGACCTATGCACCCAAAAAGGCTCCAACGCCAGCATCATCGGATGCACCAGTTGTGGCTCCAACATTGGCTTCACCTGCTCCAGGGAAGGCCCCAACACCGGGATCGTCGCATGGACTTCCAAGTACCGGTTCTCACCAATCTCCAACGATTCAGGCTCCCCAAAAGGCTACAACACCAGCATTGTCGCACGTGCCTTCAAATTCACATTTAGCTCCGACTACTCATGCACCTGGAAAAGCTCCAACTAGCGCGTCACTTGCCCCTGCTGGGTCCCACTTGTCTCCGACAGAACATGCAACTGGAAAAGCTCCAACACCTGCATTGTCGCATGTGTCTCCAAGACCTGGTGCGCACCTATCTCCTACGGCTCATGCACCTGGAAAGGCTCCAATTGGGGCGTCACTTGCTCCTGTTGGTTCCCACCTATCTCCAATTGCCCATGCACCAGGAAAGGTGCCTACACCAGCATCATCGAATGTGCCTCGAGGTACTAGTTCCAACCCACCTTCTCCAAGTACAGGTACACACTTCTCTCCTACGGCTCATGCACCAGTGAAGGATCCAACAGGGGTGTCGCCTGCAACTGCTCGTTCTCACTCATCTCCAATTGTCCATGCACCAGGAAAGGCGCCAACAGCAGCATCATCGATTGTGCCTCCAGGTACTGGTTCCAACACACGTTCAGGTTGATATTTTTAAATATATATATATATATGTATATATATATATATAATCACGTCGAAAGGCAAAATGTGGTTCAAGACTATATATCAAAACCTTGGTATTTTAATTTAGTACTCTCCCCGGTCCACAATAAGTAACCAATTTGCTTTGGGCACACCCATTAAGGAAATACAAAATTTTAGACAAAAATAGTTAGTGTGACTAAACTACCCTTAATTAAATATTGCAGTATAGTTAATATGAGGAGTAAAAGACTTTTTAGGGATACGTACATAAGGGTAATTTTGGAAAAAAATTTCTTAATTATATAAGTAGACACTTATTTTGGACCAAAAGAAAAAAAGCAAATTGGTCAGGACCGGAGAAAATATTTATTAACTTGAATATGAATTTAAGTCTTAATTAATTTATACAAATGTGTTTCTTCATAAAATAAAATGACTAGTCTAAACAAAGTTCTTTCTACTCGTTAAATTCAAGCCTTCCATGAGTAATGGCCAAGTCGATTTGCGTATACTGTGGCTTTGTTTGTCTTTCTCCAAACAATATACGGATAATATCTCTTTAGGGATAATAATAATTCTTTCTTCTTCAATCGTGTCTTTCTATTTTTCTAACACATTCTACGGTTCATGCACCAGGAAAGGCTCCATCCGAGACGTCGCACGCGCCTGCTAGTTCCCACTCATCTCCAACTGTCCATGCACCTGGAAAGGTTCCATCTGAGGCGTCACACGTGTCTGCTAGTTCCCACTCATCTCCAACTGTTCATGCACCTGGAAAGGCTCCATTCGAGGTGTCACATGCACCTGCTAGTTCTCACTCATCTCAAACTGTTCATGCACCTGGAAAGGTTCCATCTGAGGGGTCACACGCGCCTGCTAGTTCCCACTCATCTCCGACTACCCATGAACTTGGAAAGGCTCCATCCGAGG